TCTTCAAACAATCAGGCGGATGCTCTGTCAAAGCTGGCATCATCAGCTTTCTGTGAAACGCCTCGGTCAATTTTCTGGGAAGTCATGGAAAAGAGAAGTATATCTAATGAAGTCCCCATTAGAATTCTCGACTGAAGCTCTACCTGGATGGACAACATCCGGTCTTATCTTGTAGACGGCACGCTCCCTAATTCACCCTAAGAGGCGGCTGTTCTGAAGAAGAAAGCGACAAACTTCGAGCTGAGACAAGGAGAACTCTTCAAGACTGGTTTCTTGAAACCCCTGTTGAAGTGTGTTACCCCAGAGAAGGGTAAAGAGTTCCTCGAAGATTTGCATGCCGGTTTCTGCGCCTCCCATATAGGCGGCAGGTCCCTAGCTGCCAAGGCTAGGCGGCTCTATTTCTGGCCTACTCTAGAGTCGGATGCCATGGAAATGGTCAAAAAATGTGACAAGTGCCAAAATTTTGGCAAGCTCATCCATCGTCCGACCATAGACCTGACAACCATCCACAGCCCAATACCCTTTGCCAAATGGGGCATGGACATACTTGGGCCTTACACAGCAGCACCAGGCGGCAAGCGCTACATATTGGTAGCTGTGGACTACTTTACCAAGTGGGTAGAGGCTGAGGCAATCAAAAACATCAAGACAAAAGATGTCATTTCCTTCATTTGGAGGAATATTATCACTCGTTTCGGGGTTCCCATGTCTATGGTTTTTGACAATGGTCCTCAATTTGAGACACCTCAACTCAAGACTTGGCTGGGAGACCAAGGGGTCTCAAGCGTCTTTGCATCAGTCGGCCTGCCTCAAGCAAACGGCTAGGTCGAAGCCTTCAACAAGCTAATCTTAGACGGGATTAAAAAGAAAATTGAACGGGCTGGTGGCCTTTGGGCGGATGAATTACCACACGTCCTCTGGTCCATCAGAACGACTGCTAAAGGGGCGATTGGAGAAACCCCATTCCTCATGGTGTATGGTGCAGAAGTTGTCCTGCCCATTGAACACTATGAGCCAACTCTTCGAGTCATGTTATATGACGAAGAAGTAAACTGGGAGGCCATGCGGCTGGCATTGGACTCACTTCCAGAACGCAGGGGCAATGCTGCCTTGCGCCATGAGATTTACCGTGTGAGAATGACGTGGGCTTACAACAAAATAGTACACAAGCGTCCTCTTAAAGTGGGGGTCTTTGTGCTACGGAAAATGGAGGCAGTCGGTAGGGCGAATGAGCAGGGAAAGCTAACCCCAAATTGGGAAGTCCCCTACCGAATATATGAGGAAGTAAGAGACGGCACCTACCGCCTAGAAGAACCAGACGGTAGGCAGCTGCCTAGAACTTGGAATGTAGATAACTTGAAAAATTACTATTTCTAAGTACGAATGTAAATACCTCAAATTTTGTCATTTCAAATTTTGTTAATGAGAAAATGCCTTCATTCCCAACTTGTCTTTTTTATTAGCGTCGCCTGTACAAAATACAGACGGCCAATGTATTTGGAAAGCGTCTGTCCCAACAGCAGACGCCCCAATCTCTCTGAAGGAGCCGACTTCTTTAAAGCAGTCGTTCCTACGAAATTCTTTAAGTTTATGCCAACACTTAACGAATATTTGCTTAATTCTTTAAAAGGCCTAAGGCCAGATAAAATCATTTTGAGGCCAATGGCCGAATATTAATAAACAAATAGAGGCCGAATGGTCACAGTCTGCTCCAACATGAGTATGACCGTCTGCTCCAACATGAGTCAGATAACCGACGCCGTCCATTCGGGCGAATTCGTTGAGGAGAAGCATCTCCCATTTGGGTGGCACATTGCTCTACAAATACATCAAGCGGACCTACCGAATGCTAAGGCAGCATTCGCAGTCGTTTGATTTAATCGAAAGTGAAATCTAAAAGGCCATAATTTTCTAATTGTTCTAGCGCAGTCGGAAAAGGATCACTATTTCATAAGTAGAGGCTATTAAGGCATTAAGCCGGATGCGCCTGTTTTTGCTCTGGGGCAAGACAGGCGGAATATTTTTGCTGATTTATAAGTTAAGTTAACTTATGAGGCCTTTGGCTAGATATGTCTGTTTCTGCTCAAACACAGGACATGCGGACTATTACTTACGAAGAAAACGAGCTAAAATACTTAGCATATTCAAAAAGAGACATGTGGGTCGGATATGCCTGTTCTTTGCTCTTGGGGCAAGACAGGCGGATTACTCTTCTGACCTGTAGGTCGGATGCGCCTGTTCTTCGCACTTGGGGCAAAACAGGCGGATTATTCTTCTCAAGTAAAATTAAGACTAAGTTAAAACTTAGCATCTTATCTCGACGAGGCCTATGGCCTCTTGGGGCAAAACAGGCGAAGGTTTTCTTTTTAGAAAATTTGCTAAGTGTGGGGAATAATTTCAAGCGTTAATCCCCTAGCTTGAACCCCACTGTGATCATACTCTAAAGTACGGTGGCGTCCAAAAGGGAAGAAGATAGAGCAAAAGAGTCGCCAACAAGTTTTAGGAACTTGTAAACCGTTCACAGGGTGAAGGTTACACCCCTTAACGATCCAAGAGATTGTCAACTCCATAAGGTCTTGAACCAAATAAGGGTTCGGGGATGAAGGTACAAATCCAACCTAAAAGAGATTGAACCTGCCCTAATAATAGGCCTCTACTTTATTCTGATCGTACTCATGTGCGCTTTCTGATTAACATGCAATCAATAGGATTAACCCTAAACCTGTTTATCTATGTTGGTTGAATATTAATGCACAAATAATCTATTATTGGCGATCGCTTGAATTATAATCATATTAACCCTAAATAAGATTATTAATTATCTTATTAAGCGTGATTACAAGTACAAATTCCCTTTAAACATGCATAAAAGGCGTGATCAAGAAATAAATAAATAGCATCAAGCAACATAATAATAATCATCACAATAAAATTATAATCATAACAATCATAATAAAAAATAATCATAATAATGTTAAAGCATAATAATAGTAAGATCCTAAGCATGACACTAACAAGATTAATAACAAACCCTAGCATGTCACTAAACAATAAAAATCAAATCTTTAGCCCTAACATGATACTAACAATCATAAATATTAGGAAGAACATAATAAGCATCATACTTTTAATCATACTTGATATTAAAATTACCCTAGACATGATACTAGGAATCAAAATAACAATCTAAGCATGAACTCTATATCATAACATCAATAAAACCATTAAAGTACTTACTTTGATGCCTCGTACCTCTTTCTAATAACAAAATACACGCGTTAGTGACTTCAAGGAAAATAATAAACGAAGAATTAAATTAAATAATGGAAAGAGAGATTTGGGACCAAGCCCTCAGAAATTAAACCTTTCACGTCTAGGGCGAAGGCAACTTCGAATATGGCTAGGTGTGTCTAGATCTAATGAATGCGGAATTTTGTATGTAAAAGCTAGTTTAGAAAAAGAGAGAGAGAGAGAGTAATCAAGAGAAACTTGATGAGAGTTGGTAAAGAGAGAGAATTGGTGAATTGTAGATGATTGTAGATGAAAACTGGTTATCGAAAACAGAGTTTTTAATACGTTATTTATAGAGAAAATCAGCCAAAAAGATAAAATATCAAAACATAGTCTGGCGCACGTAAAACTGAACCAGCGCCAACGCTGGATGTTGGCGCCGGACGCCAATATCAGCGCCAGGCGCCAAGCGTAGCGCCAGGCGCTACAGCTGGCGTTTGGCGCTGATTTAGAAAATCACGCGTTTTCTTAAAATCAGATAAAAATTACCATACAGGAGGATAAAATCGTATTTTCCTCAAAAATGCTCTTTGATTTTAATTAAAACTCTGAAAAGTCAACAAAAGTCAATTTATCAATGCTAATTGGATTAGGAATGAAAAGAACCTTCTAGAAGAATCTAGAAGACTAAAACCATTCCTAATTGTATTAGGAATGATAAATCATACTAGGCCCTCCCCTAGATCATTGGCCCGCATATAAGGCTCAAACCGGGCCCAGTTTAATAAATTGGCCATAACTTCCTCAATATTCATCGGAATTGGGCTTATAATATATCGTTGGAAAGCTCTTGTCAAGCCCCATCCAACTACACTACTATTGGACCCATATCATGGACCAACCAAACTGGATTGGCTGTTTTATTAAAAATAAGTTTTCAAAAATAGAGAGAAGAGAAAAGAAATTAAAACTATCCGCAACACTAGACTTTCCACACTTTCACTTCATTCGATTATGATTCGACGTGAAAGGTACTCATCACCGGGTTTGGTTTTGGGAGACACAAATGGGTGTCTACACTAAGTCAAGAATGTTGTATTTCGTTTGTGCCAATGGCCAAATGAAAACAATTATTCATTAGCTCCGGATGGTCGCGCTGTCGCGTGGTTTGGGGCAATCACCATAGTGATTGATTGAATTAAAAACCATGCATACTCTTCTAAGTATCAATAATTTCCAAGTTAATTAATCCACTCAACCAAAACCACTCGACATCCGTCTAGGGGCAAGAACATTCGCATGGTATACAGGTTATAATACTTAGCCAAAAAACATGCAATGAAAAAATTTAAAGAACAACAATATGAATAACTTCAGCCAAACGCCCGAATGTTTTTGAATTAAAAAGCCCAATCACCATCTGACGACTGGGTAAGATTGTTTGCTGGCAAAGCCAGAGAAATTGTTAATTTACCCGACCCCTCGATCGGTAAAGATACAAAAATACTCGGCACGCAGGCCGGAAGATGAGATAAATGGCCATTCGACCGCAGAAAGAACTTATAAAAAGCTTAAGGGGCAGGGGAGTTATCAACATTGGCAGCCGCATCATCACCCGCCGGCTGCTCCGCATTGTCATCATCCTCCTCGTCCCCCTCCTCGTCCCCGGAAGAGCCTGATGAGGAGCCGACCTCTTTGCCCTCAGCGTCAGCCTTGTTCGTCTCCTCTTGAGATTGACGAAGAAGGTCAGCATTGAAATCCTCGTTTGCTTAATCAAACTTGGATTTCCAGGTGTTATAGTCAGCACCCGGCTGTACCGCCTCCCATGCCATTCGCATGATGGCCTCATAGTCCTTCATCATTTGTTTGACAAGGGCCTCCTTCTCCTTCTTAGCCCGAGACTTGAACTTAGACTTCAGCAGCTTCTCCTGGTTCGCCAGGCGCACCTCCAGGCGGCCAACCCGGTTCTTGGCCCTCTCGGCCTCTTTCTTGGCCTCTTGAAGAGGCTCAAGCTTTTCCTTAAGACCTTTAATTTCGGCCTTAAGGTCAATGATTTTGGAGCGAGCCGAATCTAGGTCCTTTTTTACCTGCAGGTTGACATCCGCCTGGGAATACATCATATCAAGGGTCAGAAGCTCATTTTGAGCAATTTCAAATTGAGCTCGGTCTAAGGCGGACTCGACTCGAGCTTTAGCGGCTGTTACCTCTTTAGACTTCTCCTGGATTGGCCTTCTTAGCCCCTGGATGCGCAGCATAGCCTGAAAATGAGAAAAGAGCCGAATGGTCAAGACCAGTCGGATATGTGCTTAAATAATAAGAAAATTAAGCTAAATTTTTACCTCACAGAGGTTCCCCAAGATGGCATCCAAGTTAAGGGTGCCGACTCCTCTTACGGACGCCTTGTCCTCTAGGTCAAGCGCCCTCAGCATCTCCTTGGCCATCTAGACGACAGTCGGCCTTTGCACAGGAGCTGCAAAATTAAAGTTAGTCAAGGAAGTTCTAAGAAACTATCTTGATGAAGAAATTCAATGAAGACGCGGTTTATACCGTCTGGCTGAACCTCCTCCTCCTTCCCGTGACGCCTCTTCTCTCTTGCTAAGCCGACAACAGTACTGGGTTGCTTAAAGCCACCCTTCGATGCCTGAGTGGCATCCGGTTTGCTGACCTCCCTGTCAGCTTCGAGAGTAGAGCCGTCTCCTTTCTTGGGCTTGTGAGAAATGTGCTTCCGGTTCTTGCCGGATGCTCTCACATCACCAGCCCCAGTCTTCTGGATTTTGGGTTGGGATTGCTTGGAGGGAGAGGGCTTGGTGGAACCACTCTGCATGAGCAAAAAGAAAGGCGTCAGAAAAACAGGCGGGCAAAAATTAACCTTTGTTTTAAAATATACCAAGTGTTATAAACAGCTACCTTGGGAATCCCGACTGTTTTCTGCTCGTCATTCGCTCGATTAAGAACGTTCGAGCGATACTTTGCTGCAGAGACAACAACTGGCTTCCTTGTTGCCGAGACCTTTTCCATAGCTTTGTCTGCACCAAAAGCAGGAGTTAGACTTTATAAACAAACATTGAAAAGCAATTTAAAGGTTGCATAAAATCAGACGGCTGACTACCTCTCGGCATCTTAGAGCTTAGCCCACAAGCGACCAAGAATACCCCATCTTTCAGCCACTTGTAAAGGGGAATGTAGCTCTGGGGGAAGACTATTTTCTCCCCCTGCTCATTTGTCCGAACGGACACTTTGAACAAACCCCGATCAAAAATTTCCTCCTGGGCCCGCCTAAGGAGAGGGGGTAAGGCACTCTTGCCAACCAGGAGGGGCGGATCCTTGTTCCACCTATTGTATTTCTGGTTCAGTCGGCTATCAGAGGAATGGACTATCTCGAACTTGGTTCTCCAGTCCTTCCACTTGTTCTTCTTGCCGAATGCCATCATGTACCCCTTGCAGGTGGACAAGGTGTACCAGCCTTCGCCGCCCTTAGCAAGCGCTCGGCTGAGATAATGCATGTAGGCGAATGCCTCAAAGTTTGGATCCACCTCTAGCATTTCACATGCGGCGACGTACCCGATGATATTAATCCATGAATTCGGGACAAGTTGCCAGATACCCAGTTGGTATCCGTCCAGTATTCTCTCCACGGCCGGATGGAGAGGGAAGCGTAGACTAGCCTGGAGGACCGCCTCGTATCAGCCGAATGATTGGTCCTTATAACTGGCCAAGGTCGGCCAGGTTATCGTATCATCCTTGTTGGGAACGGACAAGGAAAAGCCATGACCCATTACGGTCTTGCGCTTGAAATTGGCAAGACCGGATGTCATAGAAGTCCGCTTACTTTGCGGGACATGGTGATAGTAGGGGGCGCGCTCCAAGCGCCTAGAAGCACTCGACTCCGCCCACCTTCCCCCATTTCCACTGACAAGGATTCCCTTGCAGTGCTTATCTTTGCTCGGGCCTCCTCTGAAGTAACGGAGGCATTTTCAGAAGATGACGAGGCTGAATCGTCATTAGAGCTCTCCCCAGAGCTAGGGGACTGCTGGCTGGGGCCAGCAGGGTCCTCCCCTAGACTCTCCTCCAACGCCTGTTCCGAAGGCTCGGTCTGGTATTGATTGTCGGCTTCCCGCAGTATAGTATCACTGGGGGTGCCGCTTGAAGAAGAGGAAGAGTAATAAGTTAGAGTTTGGGGAAGGTCAGAAGAAGGGTTTGGGGGGTGCTTAGAAATTTCACTAGCTGGCACCCTAATGGAGCCATAAGAGTTGACAGTCTCACTGTCCGAATGGTAAAAGGAACCATCCGCCCTATATCTCCTCGTTGTCTGCTTTGTTCTGGCCATCGTGTCCTGCAGATGCACAGACACTGTCGGATTTGGAGATGTACTTAAAGGAAAGTTCTTGAACGAGCATTCGACACTCCTAGTTCTAGATTCAACCGTCCTCGGTGACCGGATGATCGCTAACCTAGGTCGTTCCGTGTGCGTTTGGGAAACCATTTGATAAAGAAAAAATGCAAGAAAGAATAAGTAAAAGAAGAGAGTAGGTGGTTACCTTAGAAGAAGGTATTACGAGACGACTAGTTCGCTGAAACAGACGGACAGAAAGTCGAGCGTCGGATGCTTGACAAGTTTAGGTCTTTGAGAGTCTTTGAAAGTCAAAAGTCCAGAGATTCTCCAAGATTCGCAAAGGTGTGAAAAAAAAGGGGAGTCAAACCCTCCTATTTATAGAAAGGGTAAACCCTAATTTTTCCCCCCAAAATGTAATTTGAAAATCCGGCCAGTCGGATGATGACACCTATTACAAGTGTCATGTGCAATGCACGTGACCCCTGTGAGGGGCAAATGATTTGGGTATTTTTACACCCGGCCAGGTGGCCCAATTGGAAGCCGCCACGTGTCATTCGAAGGGGTGCCATCTGGACCTTTGAGATGGTGACACGTGATAGGCAGGCATTCCCCCGTTCTGAGATGATTGATGATCCAGCATGGACCATTAAGAGGGCGACACGTGTCACCCTAACAGATGCCCAAAAGCCTTTAGGGCTCAGTGACACGCGTCACTCAGGCATTGCTTGTGGAATGGCGGCCTTCAAGGGCCCAAACCTTGAGGCGCCGTTTTACGGCGTGACCTAATCCCTAGGTCACCAAATCCTAGGGAGGGCACACTTTTCAAAAAGACCCTATATATAGGGACAGTTCCTACATTTATGATAGGAATACACTAAATACGAGACAACACGTCACTTTCACATTTATTACAGAGCTGTCGTTTTCCAGAAACAGACAACACTTTACCTGAGCTTGGAATCCAAGCAGATAACTTTATTTCCGCACGTTTTACTCCGAATACTTACTAACTTAATCTTCGGAGGCGGACCACCGACCATCCGGCGGTCCGTTTGCTTTGCAGGTATAGGCGCCCTTTGCTGAATCCAGTCTTAGTGTTGTAACTCTCCCAAGGGACAAAAACCCCCGAAACAACTATATCTGAGCCATTACATCCCTTGATATTCCTAACTTATATTACCACTCTATTCCACAATTAATATCACTTTATCACTTAATTAGCATTCATATATTACCCTTCAAAAAAAAAATTAATATATTAATTGTTGCTTTTCATTAAGGGTTCTAACAGTTTTTTTTAACATTATATACAATCCCCTACTTAATTGTAAAACAAAAACTACTATGGAGTACATCTTTGTTTCGATCCCCAACTAACTTTACCATTTTTATTTTATTACTCCCTCCTTTTTTAAAAGTTTGACCGACACGTAATTTTAGGAGATTTTAGTGAGGTAGGTTGGAGGAGTGAGAAATGATAAAGTAAAAGAATGTGAGAGGAAGTGGGGACCATGAAAGGAGTGAGAAATGATAAAGTAAGAGATAGTGGGTGAAAATATATTATTAAAATGTAAGGAATTTCTAAAAGAGGGAGTGTGTCACTTAAAAAAAAACGGCCGTTTAAAGAAAGTGTGTCACTTAAAAAATGGAGGGAGTATTTAAACTTAAGGTATTGGTTCCAAAATATTACTACGTATTTAAACTCAAGGTACTTTATGAGAAAATTCAAGTTAATCTCCGTGATAAACGAGTATTGTTTATCTCGTAGCAAAATGGTATTAAAAATACATTGATTTATGTGCTGGAGCAATAAACAAATGTTTTCTAAAAAAAAAAGTTCTGACATTGAGCACGTGGCTTCAAAAAGTAAACTTCACACCGTTATTAAACAATCCATCTAGCTGAACCCAGCTTAACCCACGGTAACTAAGGGTTCATGGCCTATTCTTCTTCCTCCATTCACTCACCTCCATTAGCAGACCTTTAATGGAGAAATTGAAAAGCACGAACAACTCCAATGGAGAAGGAAGACAAAGCTTTCCCTTAAGGATTAACCATGCCCTAATTTCTCTAATTTTCCTAGGGTTTTTCGTTGGATTTGGCAGCGAAGCTGCCGGAAATCTGCCGTCGAAAAGGTGAAAGAGGATGAAGAAAAGATAAGGGACATCGAGTGGAGAATTAGAGTCGACCCCTTAATGGAGTAACAAGGAGGACAAGGCTACACTATACCCACGAGATTTGCAACTAAACCAATCAAATTAGAGAAGAAACACAAAGTTTTAGTTGAATTCAAGAAGTAACATTTAAATTTTTGCTCGATAGAAGAACGAAAAAAATGTCATCAATTGAAGATGAACCAGTCAAATTGAAGAAGAAGAGAGTTGGGTTTGGGTAGATGACAGCAAACTTGACGGCAATTTAACTGCATATTTCCGTCTATTTGCTTTGGACATTATCACCCTTGCTTTTAAACGCAAAATGACGAGTTTACCCTGAGATAAACAGTCTAGGTTTCTCTCAGAGATCAACCTGGGCCATCTCGTAATCTATTCATTTTGTATTTAAACATAACTCAGAACATTGCCCGAGCTACAAACTACTCCCTCCGATTTTAAATACTTGCTCCATTTCTCAATACGCGGAGTTTTAGGAGAAATAAGAGAAAGTAATAAAATATGGAGGTTGTGGGGTAGTTGAGAAAATAAAAAAATTCTAAAAAGCAAAAGTAGTGGAAGAATAGGAAGAGAGAGAGTATTATGTTGAGTACACCAAGTGTGAAAAATGAATTAAATATTGTAAAAGATTTCCAAAAAAGGAAATGAAGTAATTATTTAAAAACGAATGGAAAAGGAAAGTGGAGCAAATATTTAAAAACAGAGGGAATAGTTACAATTTATTAAAGTATGAGTACAAGAAGATTCGTCAAGAATCACCTAAGCTCAAGTGATTAGAGCTTTTTTCCCGATTCTAGAAATTCCGAGATTGATACCCCCACCATTCTAGCTCGCTCTCTAAAAAAAAAAGCCTCTGTTTAATGTCCTTTTTTTGAGAAAATACATGTTAATATGCCATATAAACTTTGCACGTTTATATGGGGGCATATTCGTCAAATCAGTCGGTGTACTAAGGCTATAGACGTCATCATTATTAAATTAAGATAACAGTGAACTAACATCGTCAATTCAGCTGAATATCGTCCTGTTCCCCAAATTGTGTTTGACCCGTTTTCTCTGGAGTTGACCATTGTTAAGCTGAATGTAATTTGTGAGTGAAAAGTTGTAACTGTGGGAGGGTTTGCCAACGAACGAACATCAAGATCGGGGAGAAACAACACTGGTGTTGGCGCCGCCTTGGCTCTGCAATTCTAGGCGAACATATAGCAGCGCGAACATATTCTCGGCAGTGTTAAGGTATGCATTACTCGATTAATCGAATGAACTGGTTTAATTTGGGGTGGAATTAGTCGATTGAACTCTTTTAACATGTATTTTCTCATTTAGCTAGCCGATTTATTGGTTATTATGTTATTTAGGGTTATTACATTGCACTTATTAGAAAGATCATTGGTGGTTGTTATGTGATGTAGGGTTTTAAGATTGCACTTATTAAAATGGTATGGATTGAGTGGTGTTAGCATTCGGTTCTTTGATTGGGGTAGAACAGAAGCTATGACTTGGATGTTTTACTCAAAGAATTTTTGCAATTGCTCTGGAGTCAGTTGTGTTATGATTGTATGTAAATAAGGTCTTCTATGTTCAATTTGATAGTAGTAATTGTTATGAATTGAATTATGTAACCATAAACTATGGATTCGATATTGTTAGGATTAGTACATAGCATTATAGTAATTCAATTTGTGTGGGATGATGGTGTACAGTAATAGGTAGTACATTGCAGCTGTTGGCAAGACAGATGGAATCAGTAGGGAATTTGAACCGGAAGCGCAAAATGTCCAGCAATGGAAATAAGTCTGAGGTAATGTATGGTAGAATTATTTATTAGTTGAGAGTGATTAATAAAATCATTTTGAATATGTCATAGAAGGCTGGTGTTGCACCTCCATTGAAGAAGCTGTCTCCGGAGTTATTCAAGGTAATCCGAACAAATATACACATTCTTAAATGACAAATTAAAGCAACAAAGGGGCTTATGTATTGGAATGACTTAGAATGATTCGTTAAGCGTTGGTGGGGGTGTGAAAAGGAAATAGGAGGTCTTGCTACGCCATGAGAAGGCTAGAGGCAGGGTAAGTGGATGATTTGCTCTTACTTAAGGTTAATGTGTTGATTTAGTTTTAATAATTATAAATTTTGTGGAATATTTCAGCCAGCGAATACAAGTTGTCGGATAGAGTCATTTGGAAAAATATGCCATACTTTCGATGACCAATGTAAGCGGTGGGTTGGGGAAATGGGGTTTGGTGGTCTTTTGAAAATTGGATCCTATTTGAATCTCCCTAAGCAGTTGTCCTATTGGCTTATGACTCGCATCGATCCTTTCAATTGTACGCTTACCTGCCGAGACGGTAGAGTATTTAGGCTTTCACAAAATCAGGTGCACTGGGTACTTGGAATTCCAAACGGTGGAATTCCTGTTCCCACTTACAAAACTTTGGGGAGTGATATGTTGAAGGAGCTAAAAGGGGTAATGGCTAGTTATGGTAAATCATGGAATACGAAGTCCATTAAAACTGGTAGAGAGTACGTATTTGAGGGTATTCCAGTTAATTGTGAACTCATTGCTCGGATGGAGGGAAAATGGGAAGAACATCAGGAGGATGAGTTCAAAACTTTGTTTTTATTGTTGTCGCTACAGATGTTGTTATGTCCTACTCAGTCATCCAGACTGGCTGCGGATGTAATTCCGGCATTAACTTGTGCTAGGAAAGCTGCTGAATATGATTGGTGTAGCCTTGTTCTCAAGAATCTCAGGGATAGTGTTGCAATGTTTGCGAGGCGGTTTTATTCAACCGGATTTGCTAGTGGGTGTGGTGGTTGTCTTATATTTTTGGTGGTATGTGACAATTGTAATTGTTTAGTCCTTGGGTTTACTCCTTGGGTTTGTTATGAAGTGCACTATTTAGACAAATTAAAGTGTGTTTTGTGTTACAGGTTATATATTTAGATCGACTAGATAGACATCTTGTGCAATGGGGCTATTACCCGAGGTTGGAGGTTTGGAACATGGATGAGATACGTATGGCTGTTAGAGAAGATCGTATCCAGGGGGGAGACTTTGGTCAACTTGGGGTAAGTAAATGTTGTAGATGTTGTTGGTTTTGTTATATTGGTATTGCACTCTGTTTTCCATGTTTAATTTATCTTGGTCGTCATGTTGTAGATGTTGGATGTGGCTTATGATGAAACACATCCTACCGAAGCACGAGACACAAATGGGCCACATGGGTCACAATAGGTTCATAGAACTGGGAGTGTGACTGTTTGCTATAGGGGTAAGGAAGCACGAAGAAAGACCACTAGAGATAGGGAAAAGGTATGAAGAAACCAACTGTTGATAAATCAAAGGAGTTAAGTTGTCAAGGTCTCGGTATCATGTGGAAGAAGTTCAATTTTCAATGCATAGACAATACTTGTTGGATGAACAATGCAGATGTAACATCTTTTAGACTTGGATGTTGAATAGGTATCTGAAATTTTAGTTAGATATTCTTGTTTATGTATTGTAAGATGTTAGGTAATTGCTTATGTTTTCGTTGAATAATCTTTGGTTTAATTAGGTGGATATCGGCTAAAGTTCTTTACAAACTACAATCAATAACGTTTGGGGTAAGTATGGCATAGTTATGCTGACTATATCCCTGTATCATTCCAAAAATAAGGTAAATTTGTCTTTATGCCATAGGTGTTGACGATGATGCATGGATTTGTTTTACCGTGTGCTGGAGATCCATCTATTTGTACTTCACTGGTGGTTAGTGTTATTTTGTCGTTGGTTGCCACTTTATAGGTTTCTTTGCAGGTGTGCTGAGGTCCATCTATTTGTAATTCCTAGATGAACAATGACAACTCATTAATGATACAGGGTGATGTGGTATTCTTTGCTGGTGGCATTAGTGCAGAATCTATGGCAAGAGCTTCCATTAATCGGTTGTTACGTAGTCAATGTTGTTCTTACTTGGCCATAATATCTGAGGTTCAAGCAGATTCAGTCTTGGACTCTCCTTTACTGTCATCCGTTTGTGTTGTGGCAAAATCTGGACATGTATCAGAAGTGTCTTTCATTCACGGTGATTCAAGCTCGCCAAACTTAAAGGTCATTAAGCGGGTAAGTAGTTGGGGAAATTTTGTTTTAATGTGTGAATTATTTTAGCAGTTTTATATAGGATGTTATTTCTGATCGCATTTTATGTACGAGTGTAGGAGATAATCTTAGTTCAGTAATAACCTTACTGGTTGGTTAGACACTGCTTTGGTTTTGTTTGTTATGAACTGACTTCAAATTCCTAATTACAGGTCTTCAATGAGGATGTAGTGTACCATGAAATTGAGGTATTGTTTGGAAAAGGGCTATCGTTTCCTTACAACACGAGGAATGTGTTTATTAATAAGGATCTTAAGTGCATCAAATGCGCTGGAGACAGAGACAACAAAGTTTTACCAATTTGATGTTGGTGCATTACAAATAGAATTTGTAGGTTATTATGTGTTTTTAGAATTAGAGTGTTCAATACTATTGCGGGCTATGTAATAACGACCTCGTAAATGGGCTTCATGTGGGGCTTCGTGTTATTGTGTTTTCATATGGCCTCAATATCCCAAATGGACTTCATAACACGTATTTGGTTTGGAAGAAAAAGGGACAACTTTATTGGGTCCCCCAAAATGATTGGATTAATGTCTTTGTAATGGGCTTTTAAAGTCATGGACTTTAATTTGCATAGCCCAACAATAACAATATTGAAATACGATAGATTTCAGAATACTTAGAATTCTTAACATTATAGATCGTTCATGGGAAAACACGAACTAAGAAAAGTTTACAATCATTTTATACTTAGATCGTCATACTAAGAAATTACTATTACAATACATCAAATTACTATTACTATTACAATACATCTATGGCCCAACAATATTCATTGCTAAATAGCTACTCATTTTCATGGAAACGTGACTGGTAAAAGCAAGCATGGCATAACCACCCTCGGACTCCGTTTTTGAAACCCCATACACAACATATGGCTTCAAAAACGCACATATATGTCGTGCCATATGAATGGACACTCTTGACTCGGTTAGGATAACCAAATGAGGCATATGAATTTCTATGGCAGACCTTAGTAATGGCAAGAACGTCTCCCTACCCATATCACGGCAATTCCACACCATATACCGTAACCCTTTTAGGCTACTCCCACTCCAGCACATTCCTTGTTCATTTGCCACAACTTTCACCTCAACCTCCATTTCTCTCCCATCTAAAATGGATGAGGAGATGATAGTACTACGCATGTATATATTAGTCACTAACAACGGATATTTTGTAGTAAAAAGTTTACAATCATTTCTGTAACTTGGTATTTTCAATTGATGATTCCCTGTAGGCAAGTCACAACACTCGACAACTGTGGGTAAATCGGAAGGTGGATCAATTACATTGATTACAGACTTCGGTATCACATGTTGTAATCCACATCCTCCCTTACCACCTTGTGTAGAGATCACCCATTGGACAAAAAACTTCATGGCTTTTGGTAGTAAGGCCAAATCAGACAAGTCGGGCAAATGGAAAGGCCTCACCTTGTTTGTTTGAGTAATTATTACGAGGTCTCCTCCCAACCTCGCCTTACCCGCAATGACTTGAGCCACAGTGTAAGCATCAAGCCTTGAAACTATTATTTTACCGTCGGAGGACAGAACCGGGCTTTTGACCACCCCAAGTACACCTTTCCGGAGCAATTTGTGATTGGCAAGTTTTGGAATACATGGTTTGACAACTTTTAAACCCTTAGTTTTAACAAGATGTGAACATGAAAATAGTAAAAGGTCTCTCGTGGATCTTTTTCGGTTGTATGGCTTAACCAACCTTACAGGGATTGAAATATTTCTCTTTGCCATTGTTTTAGTTTAGGGTTACAAAGGAGGTGGAAGTGTGCAACAACCTATATATAGGAACATAAAGGAAGCACCCATTTTGGCGGGCTCATTTGGGTTTTGGGAGGATAAATTGAATTAAATAAAAAAATTGGCGGGTAAGAAAAGCAACACCTGAAAAGTCCATTGGCTACTTACCAAAATAGGCTAATAATGATTTAAGAGCTTTAATATTGTATTCATAATGTTTCCTAACAAGACAGTAGTGTATTTTAATATTGTACTCATAATGTAACCTACCTAAGACTATATTCTCTCTTAAATAGTAATATATTATGTTCTCTTTAATTAAATCTGTCTACTAAGACAAACTGTTCTCCTAATTATATTGATTTTTTGATTTTTCTTTATGTACTAGTTTATATAAGTATATAGTTCGTTTTGAAAATTTAATGTTACTCAACTAGTGTTCATTTTTATTTCAATTATGATTAAACATGAAACAACTGTCAACTGTAAAGGCTAAATTACTAATTACTAAAGGAATTATTTGATATAAACTACCATCACTGTAATTTCATGTTATGGTTCATCAAATTCAAAGTCCATTGGTTCATCAAATTCAAAGCCTAATTAGATACAAAATCATACATAACATAACCATACATATTATAGATAATATTTGTCTGAAAGCGTGTAACTCAATCATACATAACCCTACAAGTTCATGCTGTCATCAAATGTACACAACACAAACCCTTCATTCATTAAACTTACTTGAGTACTAATACTATATAATAGTCATTAAACATCACCAACCATAGTTCGAAAAATGACACAAGAGACATACTAGAGTACTATTACAGAACTTCTAATAACTAATAAACGCCTTAAGCATCCTCAATCATGACACAACATTCACTTTGCTCATACCCTCCCCCTTGTCTTAAACCTGTAACAAATAACAAATTAATAGCATGGTCAGTGATACACGCAGTGTAATATGAAATTATTATTTAAATCAACGTGGACTAAGTGCAACCTGAACTGCATTGAATGTCCCCATAATACGGTTATCATTATCTTCATCGGTAGCAATTAGCATGGTGGAATCCACCCTATTAGAATCCCAAAACACGATTGTTCCCCTAAGAATACCTCCACCCGCATCAAAGTGCCACGACAAAGTAGTGTCCAGTTTAGATAGAATCCTCTCACAATTGATGGAAGTAGCTCCCACTTCTATCACTATCATAATCATCAGGTTATGTATATCAACTATTTCTTTAAAGTGCTCGACAAAGGATGGACGGCTGATCCTACGACCGTTCCAAAGCACAACAGATGCTCCAATGTTGATTTCCCTCTTATTAGGTTCGACTTCCGGTCGTAATTTTACAGATTGGTACCGGCTCGTCAGGTTGTCTTCTATGAATTGATCCCTAAAAACCGAGTAACTGATCTCCGTCATAGGAGATTTCACCTAAACAAACCAGGACATTTGAAGCAAAAACACATTAGGAACCATACCATATTTGACAGTTAATTATGACTTTAAATATACAAATTAGCAACACAAAACTTCAAAGTATATCGGATTCCTTAAATTGATTCAGTGTGACTTTAATTAACATATGATTAATAATTAATATATGTATATAAAAAATTAATACATTTTGACTATTATCTGATTAATAATTAATATATGTATTAAAAAATTAATACAATTTTACCTTAATCAATAAATGTATATTATTAATGTAAATATGTATTACATAAATGAATAAAGTTTGACTACAATTAATTTATGATTAATAATTAATATATGTATTAAATAAATGAATACAGTTTGATTTTAATGAAATTATGATTAATAATTAATCTATGTATTAAATAAATGAATACATTTTCACTTTAATTAATTTCTGATTAATAATTAATATATGTATTAAATAAATGAATAAAGTTTGACTGTAATTAATTTATGATTTAATAATTAATATATGTAATTAATTTATGTATTAAATAAATAAACACGATTTGACTATAATTTATATATGATTATTAAAAAATAACATATGTATTAATTAAATAAACACAGTTTGACTATAAATTTATATATGATTATTAAATAACATATGTATTAATTAAATTAATACAGTTGAACAAGAAATAATCAAAGTTTCATTGCATAACTTAAATTTCAATATAACAAAACGATTATTTATAGTACTGTAATATTCTAACAACAGCGATTGCAATTCATATTGTCATTGTAAATTACATTGAAGATACCAAAGTATGAGAAAAGGAAACATGTTTCACCTGGAGGAAAATAACGTCATCTGTGTAGCTACCAAATTCGGTGGTGAAGCCATTTAAGCGGAGGGAATATATTGGGCCAGTTCGTGGTAAAATTGGCTTAGGATCGATCTTATCCACCATAAAGGTCGGGATGATTTTTGTTTTACCTTCGTACGTTACAGATTCACCCTTCTCTATATCAGAAATTGCTGACTGAACTTCCGGTTTGTTAACGACATCAGCCATGTTTGGTAAGTGCGCCGGGAAAATCTGACCTTCCTCATTCACCATCATCATTTTGTCCATCCGGTGTTGTTCTTGTTTAGGGTTCGCGACTATTTTCCTTAAAATATCGTACTCAACAACATGACAGGTCAATTTCCCGTTTTGGCTATGAAAGTATACGAAATCATTGAAGTTCATCTCTTGTTCTGGGTTGTTGTTGTATTGGAAACAGTGCTTGACATTCTCAACAGCTTCAGCCGCGTAGAATCCATGAGGGTATGAGGCTTCTTGGTTAGAGGATGGTTCCATGGGTGGTAGTACTGAAGTAGTATGGAAGACAATGGAAGAGGAAGGTGAGAGGGTATTTTTGGAGGACTATGGGGTGGTAAATCTAATAAGCTATCTCTCTGATGTAATTATTCGGAGTTGTGTAAAAGCAACAAGTGTGATATTGTTCAACCACGCTAAGTGTCAGCACTTTTCTACAACTTTTTATGGTTATTTGTCCATTTCCAATTCATAGGGGTAAAAGTACTGCTCCAAGGGTATAACCTAAAAATTAATATTTGAATTTTGTTTTGTTTTTTACCAATTCATTATTATTGTTCTTGTTTCCCATGATATTTGATATTGTGTTGTCATTGTCACAGATTTCTTTAATTGAAAAGCCTCAAAAAGTTGATACTCAGTTAATACTTGTCAGGAATCCTTTATTAAAAAGAAACAAATATATGTAAAATTTTGAATAAGGAACAAATGAATGCAAACCCTAAACCCTAAACCCTAAACCCCTAACCCTTATGCATTGTAAACCCTACACTCTTCCAACCCTTAATATAATTTATCATATGCAAACCCTAAACCCTTAACTCTTAAGCTTATGCTTGTATGTATCATAAACTTTAATTGGATAAATTTACTCATTAAAATTATCTTATGTATTGGTCCGTTTAATACCCATAATTTTTGAAGTTCTTACATACGTTTTTAAATGTTTAATGGTCGTGTTGTTACCCGTCATCCGAGGGTTTTCAATGGTTTCCATATCGTTGTTTAAGATGTAATCTTCTGGTTAAGTTACCTAATTTACTGTCAACTAATATTAAATGTGTTTGACGTTTTTATGATTCAATTGGCAAATTTAATATGTATAATTCTCATTTGACTCAATTAGCTTTGTTGACTGCATTTGTATGTCTTTTGATTCAATTAGCTATGCATGAATACATTTGACTATATTTTGATTCAAAAATCAATGACTTTTCATTTGATTCAATTAGCTATTTGTTTTATCACTCATACTTTTTTACGATTCAATTAGCTATGTGTTTTATCACTCATAATTTTTTTATGATTCAATTAGCAAATTGAATATGTATGATTTTCATTTGACTCAATTAGCTTTGTTGACTGGATTTGTCTTTCTTTTGATTGAATTAGCTATGTACGAATACATTTGACTTTGTTTTGATTCAAAAATCAATGTCTTTTCATTTGATTCAATTAGCTATGCGTTTGACTTTTTTATTATTCAAGTAGCAAATTGAATATGTTTGATTCTCATTAACTCAATAAGCTTTGTTGACTTCATTTGTCTTTCTTTTGATTCACTTAATACATTTGAGTTTGTTTTTATTCAATTACCTATGTATGAATACATTTGACTTTCAGTTGATTCAATTAGGTATGTACGAATGAGTTGACTTTCACTTCAATTAGGTTCCCTCAAACAGCGTTGTAAAATGTCTTTTCATTTCACTCAATTTGCTGGTTGAATGCATTTGACCTTCATTTGATTCAATTACCTTTGTTAAGTGCATTTGACTTTCAGTTGATTTAGGAACCTTTGATTGATTGTGTTTGATTTTCTCCTCATTCAATTGAGTTTGTTGTGTGCATTTAACTGATTTAGCTATGTTGAATGGTTTTGACTTTCTTCTTAGTCAATTAGCTATGCTGAATGCATTTGACTTTCATTTAATTCACAAATCTAATAAGCTCGTCGTGTTAACCTTTTATTTTACTCATTAGTTTGACTTTTATTTGGTTGTAAACGGTTTATAAGATAGTTCAATGCATTTTTGACTAAAAAGCGGTTTGACTTTCATTAATAAGGTTTGTTCGATGCGTTTGACTGAAAAACCGTACATCACTTTGATACTTTATAATTACTATTTTCATAATCATAAATATTTTCCCAATAGTCTTAACATAATTGCGCAACGATTTTTATTTAAATTTTTTTTATTGGAAGTCTGATAATAAGTTCATTACTTGTTAAGGATTACAAATCATATTTTTTTATAAAGTTGGAGTACAAAATATCCGTGTACAAAATATTCGAGTATTAAATTTTTTTTTTAATTTAAAAGGATTACAAAATATATCCGAAGTATAAGTAAAACTGGTTGTGATCGGTAAATATAAGTAAAAATGTACCAAAGTTGAGTACCCATATTGCAACAAGTGAAAGTTGAGTACCTTAGTCGCAACTTCTTTGATAGTTTAGTACCTTGTATTGTGCTAATCTAACAAGTTCGTAAGTAGAAATATTAATACAGAAATATTAAATATAATAAGTACGTACGTTGAAAAATTACTCTACAAATACTACATCCTTGTTCAAGATTATTACAATAACACGGCCACAAACTTATAGCACTAGAATTAGCTATGTTGTTACTAGGCTAAACCTGACTAACTGTTGTCCTAGACATATGACAACGCGACAACTACCATCGTGGATTAGAACGAGGCGTACACGTTTCAATCTTGTATGTCATCGTACTCGTTTGCAGGATAATGGACTTCTTGAGGGATAACATCGTCAAAGCGGGTAGGAACAATGCTTGGTCCGGGCTGACAAGATATTTGCAAAAACAAACAGCAATTAGGAGTAAGTCATATATCTATAGTGGAAACTAAACAAATCACTTTTATGAATATTGAGGTCAATTTAGAGATAAGAATCGATAATGCCACAAAATAAACAAGAAGGGACAAACAAATTTTGGACACGATTTCCACAAACCTAGTAACAAGTTGAATATGTATATTGGTTACGGTTTCGACAATAATAACAAATTATGATTATTATTACATTAAGACTACTACAGTAATAACATTAAATTATGAAATAATGATAACTTTAAGACAACTTAATTAGTAAAAGTTACCTCTATTTCGACTCCCATGATGTGTCCGGTCAAGCAGGAGCTCCTCCTGTTAAAATACGGCTCGACAAGCTTGTTCCAAAGCAGCATAACACCGCCTACAGCGTCGTAGCCACTGAACGCGTGTTGATATGGTCCTGGAAGCGTAGCAACAAGCTTCCATAGTATGATGTCATGTGGGCAAGCTTCAGTGATTATGAACAACATCGGTTTATAGCTATCATAAAGATTGCGGAAATTGTGCATAAAAGAAGGTCTGGAAATGTCTTTCGCATTCCAGCAAAGCACAAATTCCCCTTCCGGGAAAACAGCCTTATCAACATCGGATGGCACCTGACCACAAACAGATATACGGTGGTAATGAACACCATTTTTTTTTGTTACCCCCGAGAAGACATTGATTTTCAAGATTGACATCCGATTTTCAATTCTCAGAACGTGGATTGAATTCGTCTTCGCACCAATGAAAACATGCTTCTCAATTAAGGGAAAAGCAAATGTTAGGGTAGACTCAGCATCGAATGTCGGAACAAGGTCAAATATTGGCATGACATCTTTAGGAACAATCTCCTCTTCTACAAAGACGTGATTCTTGAAAAGCCATTGCACAAAAACCGCCACACCGCCATGTTGCAAGTACCCTTTTATGTCCGATAACAGTGGGAGGTAGGCTGGCTTAGCTTCGCCTCCAGGACCAACCATCATCCTCTGCACTGTTGTGTTAGCAAATCTCTGCACATCATCCATGGCAAGCTCATTTCTAATTATTTTTGGGATCAATATTATTGCCTTTGTCCAACTCTAGCTGGTGTTTGTAATAAGAAGTGTGATTCAAATCAAGCTCAGGGCACTGGGTTGGTACGAATTTCTTGAAGTACATAATGGGTTCAGTAGAGAGAAGGTATGAAGTGTCACGACGCCGTCGACTATAAGTAGTGGCGGATTTAACCACCACATATAGGTGTCCACGGTCCATTGAGGGGAGAACAGAAAATGGCTTAATGAAGCGTTTAAATGGGTTAATGAGGCGTTAGAGGGAGGAGTAGGAAAATGGGTGTCCACTTGTTATTTAAATGAAATTGGTCTGACATTGTTGTCACGTTACTACTGTACCTTAAAAAATTAATAGATTACATTCATTAAAAATTTTAACAGCAGATAAATAGAAATTCCTTTCATAAGATTAATAGAAATTAAAAGATTGATTAAAAAGACCTTATGTAATTGTTTAAGAGCTCGTGATCCTATATTTAATTTCAAAATTTGACCACGCATTTGACAATTTCAAAAATTACAATTCAATTATCCTCAATTACCAATAGTCCTCAAAAATCAATTTTATAAACCAAGATTGTTACATTACTATAATCAATTACCCTAAATAACCCAATACAATCAATTATCCTCAAAAACCCTTAACAATCAATTATCCACAATAATCAATCGTCCTCCAAAATCAATTTTATAAACCAAGATTGTTACACAACGATAATCATTAATATTCAATAACCCTTAACAATCAATTAACCACAATAACCAATCGTCCTCATAAATCAATTTTATAAACCAAGATTGTTACACAAACATAATCATTAATTCTCAATAACCCAATACAGTCAATTATCCTCAAAAACACTTAACAATCAGTTTTCCTCAATAACCCTTAACAATCAATTAACCACAATAACCAATCGTCCTCCAAAATCAATTTTATAAACCAAGATTGTTACATTACTATAATCAATTATCCTAAATAACCCAATACAATCAATTATCCTCAATAACCCTTAACAATCAATTATCCACAATAACCAATCGTCCTCATAAATCAATTTTATAAACCAAGATTGTTACACAACGATAATCATTAATTCGCAATAACCCAATACAATCAATTATCCTCAATAACCCTTAACAATCAGTTTTCCTAAATAACCCAATACAATCAATTATCCTCAAAAACCCTTAACAATAAATTATCCACAATAATCAATCGTCCTCCAAAATCAATTTTATAAAGCAAGATTGTTACATTACTATAATCAATTACCCTAAATAACCCAATACAATCCATTATCCTCAAAAACCCTTAACAATCAATTATCCACAATAATCAATCGTCCTCCAAAATCAATTTTATAAACCAAGATTGTTACACAACGATAATCATTAATTCTTAATAACCCAAAACAATCAATTATCCTCAATAACCCTTAACAATCAGTTTTCCTCAATAACCCTTAACAATCAATTTTCCTTAACAATCAATTATCCTCAAAAACCAATCGTCCTCCAAATTAAAATATTTTAAACCAATTGTATTACACAAGGATAATCAATTACTCTCAATAACCCAATACCAATAATTATCCTCACAAACCTTTAACAGTCATTAATCCACAATAATCAATAATCCTCGATAATTCTTGATAACTGAAGTTGGATTCAAAAAATTCCACATCCTACAATTTATGAAAGATAAACTTCTACATCATATAATGGGACAAAAAAAATTTTAAACACAACTACTCCAGAATCATGATTTCCAAGATTTGTACTATGAGGTTCGCAGACTTGTATCACCTTTCCAGCTCTATGTATTCTAGCAAGCAATTTCTGCAGTCCATACCCAAATTTATGTATTACACCACGCGATTTATACACAACCGGACAAACTCCACGTACTACAACGATTCCTCTCCCTATGCTGTATTTGTGTCCTTATGAAATGATAATCTCGTGGAGCAGAGGTTTAATATACTTGTTACATGTAATACCCTATATTAAGCGATGTAACATGATTAAGGAGTTTGCGTAGAAATAAATTTATTAATTTTATTAATTAGGCACAAACAAATCTTCTTTCTTTTTCGGTAATAGCTAACTTGAATATTAGATTACGAAAATAATTAATCATTGTGGTATGTATAGTTCAACAGTAAATGATTAAGAAAATGACATGGAATCGATACTTAAGCCATATGTAAGACTATTAAAAATTGGTTGTCGAATTGTTGATAATAGATAAAGGTTCTCTTAAAGGTTGTCTGCAGACGCTATGAATGGATTGCTTTCAAATGAGGGAACACCGACTTTGGAAAAAAGGATGAAAATCGACCTACAACAAGATTTCTTGCAGAGATACATCCCCAATTTATGTAAACTGTGGTTGATTCAAATAACGATTGACAACACACAAATATCCAAGAGATATGGCAAATATAACTTATGACTAGGTCAAAAATCATATCGTTGGGTACGTAGGGTGATTTAGACAGTAGTTAGAACCGTTCTGCTTTGACAATGTTACACATCTTACTGATTTTTTTCTCAAAAAATGGACATGTTGTTATGTTGTACGTCTTTATATTTGTTTTGCTCTATTTCAATGGCCATGACATGTTTTTACAGAAGATAAATTTAAGGGTCTAAACTACCTTTAACAAGCTACAGCCCTTGGTCAAACGGTTTATTACCGGTAGATTTTATGTATTTTATCGTAAACTAATTAAATATAAAGTCACAAACACAGTCAGTTAGCTAGTCGAACACGAGATTCTTTTGGCTACCTTAACTAGTTAACCAACACAGAAAATATAAATTTGTTGGACATGATTTAATTTTCATAACCTTAATTAGTAAACGAAAATAGACAATATCTTACTGAGACACGATCTTACATTGATACTATTAATTTATTTTATTACTCAATCACGAATATAAACTTATTTTGTGTACAATTTATTTATATAAACTTACAACTAAATGAATATTAAGTAAGACGAAACACAATTTTATCGAATAGTATCCTAGTATATATTATAAATTAAATGTATTACAATATCGATTCAAGCTATGTACCAAATATAGTGCAAATTATATGTAATCATACTAGGGAATGGTTAAAGAATAGGGCTATGAAACCTATTTTAAGGGAAAAGGTGGGTTTAGACTGCTATATTCATGAAAGTGGAACAATGGTATCCGAGAACTTGTCTTCGTTGTATTACCCCTGGGGTAAATGAGAGGATCTCCTTAAATTAAGGAGCATGCGCCGCCTGCTGTAGAAGATGTCATGCATATGGACGAAACACCTCATTAGTGTAATCAAACAATGGTACCTATCTAGTCTAAATGCAACACCAAGCCAATATTCCTTTTTATTTTAATTTTTTTGTTTTGGTAAACCAAAAGTGCTCTAATCAAATACGGTGATTACCAATTTTTTCCAGTAATGAATGGAGTTTTATTTTAACAAAATTATGCCCTAGTAATGTTTGTTGTTCGGGTACTAAAATGGTCATACCCATTTTAGTCTTGGGTAACTCTACCCATATAAGCCCAAAGGGCATAAAAAAGGTATAAAAGGCCCCAAATAAGTCAAATACATCAATATGGCCTTCAACGACCCACATATGTAATTTTAGGGCTCATAAACCCACTTATGTACTCATATAAATACCCCTCAAAGGGCATAAGGTAAAAGGAGGTCACTCTTATCATCTAAGATGACCATACTCCTCCACTCTCTCCCCTAAACTCCTCTCAAAATATGCATTGTTTGGCAACTAACTTGGGCGTCGGAGGCTCCGCCTCGGGTTCAACCCCCGGGGCTCGGGGTTCATTTTGCAGGTCCATTCAAGGCCCAAATTCGAGGTTCTCAGACACCCCTCCAAGGCCCGGTTAGCTCATTTTTTGCCGAAACAATTTGGCGCCGTCTGTGGGGAGACGAGTACTACTACCCATGAAAATCCACTAATTCATGGCTACTGTGTTCTATCACGAAAAAGGGTCAAAATTTCTAGCAAATTTAACCCAAAATTATTACTCCTGTCAAAAGGGGTAATCATTCTTGCAAATGGTGGAGATGATAGATAAACATTTTGATTTGTCGCCAATCTAACCACTACTAACAAGGTACTTCGTGCCTTTACAAAAAAATTGGGAAATATTCCATGAATATGGTCAAACCTTAATTATTCTTGAAGAAGAATAAAAGCTAGATCTACGTGGCTCTAATGGAAAGCTCACAAAAGCAAGCCTTTCATTCACACCACCAAGTTGAAGAGGCAACAGGTGACATGAAACATACATAAAAAATCAATCAAGTTTATGTAAATTCAATGCTTGCCGAAGGAAATTTCCATTGTCTTCATCACAAGCTTCAAGGCTCACAACTCCACCACTAGAACGACTCACCATTTCATCCTAGGCAACACATGCCGAGGTCAATGGGGGTCAAGGCTAGTATTGTGAAGTGAGCCAAATCTCTTCACATCACATCTAAAGTAGCAGCCGAAGAAGATCTGAGGTTGTCTACCATTGTTGAAGCTTAAAAAAGCTCAAACTATCACCAATCTAAAAATCCGAAGCAAATAGCTCGGATAAGCAAAAGGAATCCGAAGCTCATCGAGCCGAGGCTATCCGAAGGTGTTTCAGCCCAAGCCGAAGGTGTTCTAGGCAAGCCAGCCGAGCCGAGACCGGTGTTTCAGCCAAGCCTAAGGCTTTTCAGCCGAGACCGAAGGAGTTTCAGCCCAAGCCGAAGGCGTTCTGGGCGAGTCGAAGGTGATTCAGCAGAAACCAAGGGTGGTACAGTTTACCGCTCCCAAGTTAAGGTCGGTAACCATTGCCGAGCCGAAGCTCACCTCTTATCTCCTGGCCGAGGCTAGCCATAGCCGAAGCCGAGCCCAGCCGAGGTTTACCTTCGCCGAGATTCGAGCTCCTAGCCGAAGCTCACAACCATATGAGCCGAGGGTGCTGCCGAAGATGGTTTGTCTGAACCGAAGAAGGTTCATCCAAGCCGAAGCTCATACGAGCTAATGCTAGAGCAACAAAAGCAATTAGCTTCGGCAGTCAAGTGCAATTGGCTCAAATTGTACCCGACCTCAACCTACATCAAATCTGATGATAACAAGTCAGAAGAAAAATTTACCTTTTGACCATTTTCAAAGAGCTATAAGCCATAAAAAAAAAACTACCTTTGTCAGGGTAGATGGCCAGAATCTTTCTTACCTGCGGCTACTACTTTTATCAAGTAAATGGCTTCGGGCCCACTTTCATCAAAGCCCATCTATCAAATTGCTTCAGCAAAGAAAAATGGCTCTTAATTTTTCGAGTCAATATTTTCCTCAAAAAAAAAAAAAAAATATCATCAACTATCCTCACGATGACGATGATAAAATTAATCATCAATCTTCCTCACGATGATGATGATTAAAAAAAAAAAAAAACAACTCTTTCTATCCTCGGATCAAGGGTAAACTCTTTCTATCCTTGGATCAAGAGTAAAACTCTTTCTATCCCCGGATCAAGAGTAATAAACTCTTTTTATCCTCGGATTAAGAGTAAAACTCTTTCTATCTTCGGATCAAGAGTAAACTCTTTCTATCCCCGGATCAAGAGTAATAAACTCTTTCTATCCTCGGATCAAGAGTAAAACTCTTTCTATCCCCGGATCAAGAGTAATAAACTCTTTTTATCCTCGGATTAAGAGTAAAACTCTTTCTATCCCCGGATCAAGAGTAATAAACTCTTTTTATCCTCGGATTAAGAGTAAATCTCTTTCTATCTTCGGATCAAGAGTAAACTCTTTCTATCCCTAGATCAAGAGTAATAAACTCTTTCTATCCTCGGATCAAGGGTAAACTCTTTCTATTCTCGGATCAAGAGTAAAATTCTTTCTATCCCCGGATCAAGAGTAATAAACTCTTTTTATCCTCGGATTAAGAGTAAAACTCTTTCTATCTTCGGATCAAGAGTAAACTCTTTCTGTTCTCGGATCAAGAGTAATAAATTCTTTTTATCCTCGGATCAAGAGTAAACTCTTTCAATGCCCAGATCAAGAGTAATAAACTCTTTCTATCCTCGGATTAAGGGTAAACTTTTTCTGTCCTCGGATCAAGAGTAATAAACTCTTTTTATCCTAGGATCAAGAGTAAACTCTTTCTATCCCCGGATCAAGAGTAATAAACTCTTTCTATCCTCGGATTAAGGGTAAACTCTTTCTATCCTCGGATCAAGAGTAATAAACTCTTTCTATCATCGGATCAAGAGTAACCTCTTTCTATCCCCGGATCAACAGTAATAAACTCTTTCTATCCTCGGATCAAGAGTAATAAACTCTTTCTATCCTCGGATCAAGAGTATTAAACTCTTTCTATCCTCGGATCAAGAGTAATTAACTCTTACAATCCTCGGATCAAGAGTGTTGCCTCAGATAAACTCTTTCTATCCTTGGATCAAGAGTAATTAACTCTTACAATCCTCGGATCAAGAGTGTTGCCTCATATGAACTCTTTCATTCCTCGGATCAAGAGTAATTAGCTCTTTCAATCCTTGGATCAAGAGTGTTGCCTCAGATAAACTCTTTCAGTCCTCGGATCAAGAGTAATTAACTCTTTCAATCCTTGGATCAAGAGTGTTGCCTCGGATGAACTCTTTCAGTCCTCGGATCAAACCTTGTATCAAGAGTGTTGCCTCGGATGAACTCTTTCAGTCCTATGATCAAACCTTGGATCAAGAGTGTTGCCTCGGATGAACTCTTTCAGTCCTCGGATCAAGAGTAATTAGCTCTTTCAATCCTTGGATCAAGAGTGTTGCCTCAGATAAACTCTTTCAGTCCTCGGATCAAGAGTAATTAACTCTTTCAATCCTTGGATCAAGAGTGTTGCCTCGGATGAACTCTTTCAGTCCTCGAATCAAACCTTGGATCAAGAGTGTTGCCTCTGATGAACTCTTTCAGTCCTCGGATCAAGAGTAATTAACTCTTTCAATCCTTGGATCAAGAGTGTTGCCTCAGATGAACTCTTTCAGTCCTCGGATCAAGAGTAATTAACTCTTTCAATCCTTGGATCAAGAGTGTGTTGCCTCGGATGAACTTTTTCAGTCCTCGGATCAAGAGTAATAACTCTTACAATCCTCGGATCAAGAGTGTTGCCTTGCATAAACCTGAACAAATAAAGTCCTTCGACTCAATTTCTATGAACGAATTATTTGGGAAATTGAAACAAAACCCAACTCATTTTTTCAAATAGAATTGGGTCTCGGGGGCTAATTGTTTGGGTACTAAAATGGTCATACCCATTTTAGTCTTGGGTAACTCTACCCATATAAGCCCAAAGGGCATAAAAAGGTATAAAAGGCCCCAAATAAGTCAAATACATCAATATGACCTTCAACGGCCCACATATGTAATTTTAGGGCTCATAAACCCACTTATGTACTCATATAAATACCCCTCAAAGGGCATAAGGTAAAAGGAGGTCACTCTTATCATCTAAGATGACCATACTCCTCCACTCTCTCCCCTAAACTCCTCTCAAAATATGCATTGTTTGGCAACTAACTTGGGCGTCGGAGGCTCCGCCCCGGGTTCAACCCCCGGGGCTCGGGGTTCATTTTGCAGGTCCATTCAAGGCCCAAATTCGAGGTTCTCAGACACCCCTCCAAGGCCCGGTTAGCTCATTTTTTGCCGAAACATTTGTGATTAGTCTGCATTTTTATTCATAGTACATTATGACCTAGTAAATTATGAAACTAACAGCTTATAAAAATCAACTGGGAAGTTTGTGACTGCAAGCATTAGCCAAAGACCTATATGATTTTAAATGTTGTGAACTTATAGTAGTGTGTGTTATTGTTTCTATTAGGGCATTTGGATTTGATTAAACAATTTTGCTATCTGATTTGATCAACGATGTGGTATGCACAACATAATCTCTAAGATTTTAATGATAATTGGTGTTAAATTGAGTCATCGATACTTGACCCTTGGATTACACACATTAGCTATATGATTTGATCAACGATCGGTGTGCACAACTTAACATTTACGATTTCAAAGAAATTTTAATAAAAAAGTTAATGCGAAAAAGTTGAGTGAAAAAAAGTGCGGAATGAAATGATCTTAAATAGAGTAGTGTTGAGTTTATCCTAGACACTCATAGTAATAGACATACAGTAATAATCTTAATAATAGTAGTGATAACATAAATAATGAGTAGAAGACTTTGTCTAGAAATGTGTAGTCCATTTTTAGTCAATTGTTGATCACATCAGATAAATGTATCAAGTTATAAAGGTTAATATAAAACAAAACCCCAGTCTTTAAGTTAATTAGGGAAGACTTAATTATGTCACTTAAATATACACTATACGAATACATGTATACGACTGGAGTAAAGCGTATTCAGAAGCTACGGTTGCTACTATAAAAAGGACATGTCCCCTCATTTTGTCATGCAAAACCCTAAGCCCTAAACTCATTCACCATAAAAAATATGTCAACCTCCAATGCTAGTGGTGGTGGTGTCAATGCCGGTAACGGCGATGATGGAAACGGTCGTCGTCGTAGACCTGGTATTCCACAACCTCGTCCCAAAAAACCACTTTCCAAAGGCGATCGTCGAAGAGCCTTCATTGCTAAGCTACTTGCTGACCTAAAATACCCTCCCTACCGTCTTGAGCACATAAGAATTGCATCCTCTAGCTCTTCTGATGCCGTTGCAAACCATCCACCTGTTGAGCCGTAGCTACCTACTGTGGCTGATATGATGGTGGCACCACCAGATGGGTCCCCACAACCATCACCACTTGTACCTGTTTCTGTTCTCAATCATGGTGATACACCAACAGTTTCACCTTCAAAGAATCCTTGGGTGAAGGTTGAAATGAAAAACCTTCATACCAGTGGTGGGAACTCCGGTGCTTCCAACTCCGCTCCACCACAAAAGGCAAACGTTGACGGAGGAGATATGGAAGATGTCGATATGGACATCAATGAAGCTATTCCAGCTGGGAATGGCGCAGCAGTGGTTCTCTCAATCATACTTAGGGGCTATCAGCTTGGTGACATATGAGTGATGTACAACATTCGGACAGATGAGACCTTCGAGGCTGTATACAAGGACTATGCGGACCGCATTGATGTGGAACCAAAGGATATCAAGGTGTACAATGGGATGACATATGTTCCGTCAACTACTCTACCTCTGGCAATGGGTGTTGAATCGGGGAGTGTGCTCTACGTCCAAGGCTTGGTAACTCAACTTTCTAATTGAAGCTTAAAACCTTTTAATTCGTTTAATTTGGTTGCTATAGTAGTATAAATATCACTTTAGTTACTATATATTACATTGTTAATATGTCCTTAAGTAATCTTAATTTAAGTAACGAATAAAAATTATAAATTTTAATGTATTAGTTGCTGTAGTATGTTAATTCAGTAAATAGTTAAGCTTATTGTTTGGTCGTGTTAATTTTAATATTTGGTTTGACCTAATTATGTTAAATCACTCAGAATTACATTTCTAATATGTCCCGTAATATTCTTAGGTCCGGTAATTATGTTAAATCATAATTAATTTGTATTAGTTTTTGTTCGTATGTACCTACAAATTAACATGTTTTTTTCTCAAATTATTAATTTAATAATCAAAATAAATATGTTTAATTTACATATGTTAGTATGTATTACAATGTTATAATCCCCTAAATATTCTGAATTTTATTAACGACTCATTATGAATGTGTTATGTTTATTACTTACATAAATATTTAAGCTTATTGTATAGTGGTTTTAATCAACATTAAATGTCTATACCGAGTAATTCATAAATATTTAAGCCTAAGTGTTGGCTCTACATTTCTCATCCTTAAAATTTATTATAATTATCATCACTGTGAAGTGGTGTTGTAGTGGTATGTTGTTACTTATAGTGTTACTATTCTTCTAATTGTAATTGTAAGTGCTGCCCAAATTGTGAAGGATGGAGTTGTCAACACTAACACAAGGATCAAGAGGTTCTACTGGAAGAACACAGGACACCGGAAGAAGATGAAGCTCCGCGTTCAAGGCAAGCTTGATAGTCCATTGTGCCGCCTTTTCCACACGTGGGGGGATAAGATGGAGGTGGATCCCAATGAATTGGTGTTCTACCACGAGGATACCACATTGTGAACTCTCAACACCATAAGAGAAGCTGGTATTAAGAATGGAGACAAGGTGGTCGTTGTGCCAAACTTACTTGACTGATCTCGCTGTCTAGGATCGCTGCTTTTGGAAGGTGAAGGGTACATATTGCTGTCAATGGGTCATCTAGGAAATGTCTAGGTTCTAAGAATTTGCCAACACTCCTTTTGATTTAAATATGTTAAGGATGATGCTAAGTAGGATGCATGAAGTGGTTGGAATTGCCACACCTTTTGTTGTAAAATATTGTGGCTTTGTCTGAAATTAGGTTAATCAAAATGGCCCATGTTTGATCTTTTTGTGAACTGGATTGTTGGAAATGTAATTTGAATGTCGTTTGATTTTGTGTGTCATTTGAATGTGGTTTGATGTTGTGTGTCATTTGACCATGATTAAGGGTTTATATTGACCATTGTTGCAAAAGTATCATATTTGACAATTTGAAATTCAACCCAAATAATGTTGGATTGGCCGAAAGAGGGGCGTTAGTCCAACTATGATACCAAGACAGGCCCAATCTGAAAAGACAGGTCCTGTAAATAGTCCAACTATGATACCAAGATAGGCCCAAACCTTAGTCATATGCTGTGGCCGCCCATGTCATATGCTGTGGCACAGGGCCCATGTCATAGGCCTAACAGAAGTTGGTCATATATAAATAATCTTAATCTTACATTTCATATAGTTAACATTATATATAAGTGACAGTATACCATTCAGTAATCGTTGACACTTATAAATTAACCAGAAAAAGTCCATCTGTTCACAATAAGAATAAAAGGTTAAATATACTAATCTCAATGCAATACAAGAGCTAATACACAAGCGGGAAGTCAGAGAGTTGCAAGTTACATTTAGGATTGACACAAGGAACATATTTCTTTGCAGCAAATGTATTTTAGGATAAATTGGAGCACAAAGGGAACAAAACCCATGAAATTATAACTATTTTAATCCACTGTGTCTCACACAGCAAAGTCATAGATCAAAAGTAAACCACCATCAGTCTAATTGTATAATTCATTCCAAAGTAACTCTTTCATTGCAACAAATGAAAACAACTAACTCAATCTAAAGTCCACCATTGATTGCATCAAATTCATCTGACGATAAAGTTCAAGCCAGAAACCAAAGTGAATTACAATCATCATAAAAGAAGCTAAGGTGAACACATAGAGGCAAAAGCAGACAATAGGCATTAGGTGAGTTACAAAATAATAATGTTCAAGCCACAGCCTAACATTACAGTGCATAAACCTGACGACAAAGTTTGACGTTTTCAAAACAAGTTTTCATGTAAAGCCAGCAGGTATGTATGTTGCTTCATCAATAATAGGGTGTTATAACATTGCAGTACTTTCAAAACGTCTCCGAAGGAACAGACCATCCAACTCCATTTCGTTGAAGAATGTCATCAGCCGCCTCAAAATCTTCAACATATTCATAGTAGTCCTCAATGGTGTTTTGATGTTGCACAGGTAGTGTTTTTTTCCTCTTTGTCTGTCAGGTTTAAACGGAGAAAATACCTTTAAATAGTATCATAATAAATTAAAATATTAAAAAAAATATACAAGTTATTAAGGACTTACAGGTAGCTTTCCATGGCTTGGTTGGTCAGAACACATTTCACCTTTTCTTGCATAGGTCTTCTTGTACCCCATTTCTGCAAGGCTTTTTGGCCTGGATCCCTTTGGCCTTCCTCGCGGCTTCTTGCGTGAAATAGGATCCTTCACTACGGGGCAGACAACCGATGGGTTGCCTTCTGGTCCCACTGGCTTGGAAACTGAACCAGGGGTATGGCAAGACTCAAGATTATTGGAACCAATCTCAGAGGGAGGCAAAAGGTCCCTTGGCAAGGGTGGCAATGCTGGTTGGTTTTCTATAAACTTGTCTCTGCTTCTCTGCACTTCTAAACGTAGCGTCTGGAGAGACGAAATAACTAAATCAAATGTTACCTTTTCCTCAACACATGATGATACTTTGCATATTGGCTCAAACTCAACCATAATTTTGTTATACATTTGAAAAGCCACGTTATCAGTAGGATCGTGGTAGGAAACCTTAACCCGGGTGTGCTTCCTAGGTACATCCTTGCGCCACCTTTGGAGAACATAGTTCGAAGGAATATCATGAACCAAATTCTGATCGTATACTCGGATGATATGCCTACATAGAATACCAAAGGTTTCGAACTTCCTACAATCACAGGACACATCCTTTGTAACAGTGTTAAAAAGAACACTGTAAAAACGCCTCCGGTCGGTTATGACTTCTTCACTCTGCCCTTCCGGTATTATCCAAACCCTATCTTCAAGTAGGTACTGAATAATGTTGCCTTCCAGCACACGCTCTTCCCGACCAGAACAATGCATAAGTCGACAACACTCGATCTGTATCTCTTGGAACTTTGTGTCAGTATAAATCTGTTGGAAGAACCTTTCGACTTCGAACCCACTAACAAGACGCCTAACATATTTGCGACACCTAGCATCAGCATCCATTTATGCTGAAACGCGCCGCTCCATTGCCCTAGTGTACTTCTCCGGGAATTCATATAACTTTGTTTTCCGGTTAACAAAACCGTTAAAAAAACTGTTGATGCTTTCAACCCTCTGTGTTGTCTTCATCCCGGCCCAGAAGTGCTCTTTCATAAAGGCTGGACCCACATATGTCTTTCCTCGAAAAGGTTGCTTAACCACTCATTCGCCTCGAGCTCATAAATAGTCATTAGCTCTGACCATCTACGCTCAAATTCAGCAACTGTGAAACTTTCATATAAGAGGCTTCAGTGGACTCTTAAAATCATGATAGCTACAACATATATAAAACATAATGTAGTTATCAGAACTTACAGTTTGTAAATAATGGCGTTTGTAAATAATGGCATGTGCTAACAAACTGTGTAGAATTTTATATACATAATTGGGTAGAAATGCTTTATAATAGTATGATACAGTTCATTCAAATGCAAATACCATATGCAAATACTAAAGGTAACTGCCAACAGTAGTTACAGTCCACATACATTGTAGACATATCACTAAGTGCCATCTAAGTATCATGCTCTGCTCACAGCATTATATTCATGTACTGATCACAGAAGAGAATCACACCCAAGTATCATGCTCTGCTTCACAGCAAATTCTCATTAATCTAATCCCATCTAAGTATCACACATCAAATTATATCAAACAAAATTATCCTTACCAATTTTCCAAGTTAAGTATGACACAACACAATACTACCTACCATGTACACAGCACATTACTACCTACAATATTTCAAAGTTAACTATCCCACAGCACACTACTACCTTACCAAATTTCCAAGTTAACTACCACACACCTTTATATCATGTACTTACCAAATTCTATTCATGCACTCATCAATCAATCCACAGCAAATTATATTCATGTACTCATCAATCAGCAAAAAATCAGGCAAAGTATCATGTTCTGTACCAAATTATCAGCTAGGTATAACACACCAAAATATCATACCAAAATATCACAACAAAAATTCAGAATATATTGCATCTTAATGGAAATTATCAGAACCAAATAGTTAAAATTATTTGCCAACCTGACATGAAAGTATCATAACAACCCAAGTACTTTATCACAGTATGAAGTCCCATTCAAAATGCACAGAACATGCAACATCATATATTAGGAGCAACACAAATTACTAAAACTAAACAAAAACCCTTACTATTCACATTTTCCAAGCTTGTCTGGGATTTTCTTCAGTATGTGCCAAATACACCACCGATGGCGCGCATTCGGCATGACTTGCTCCAAGGGCTTGCGCATTGCAGGAGCTTGGTCTGTCAAAATAGCCCCAGGTTCTTTGTTACCCATACAAGACAACCATTGCCTAAACACCCAACCAAAAGTGTCTGAATCCTCATGTGACAACAGGGCACAACCCAACAAGATAGATTGCCCGTGGTGGTTAACCCCTACAAAGTTGGCAAAAGGAAGCTCATACGCATTAGTTAGGTAAGTAGCATCAAAGCAAACCACATCGCCAAATTCTTCGTAAGCCACCCTACTACGAGCATCCACCCATAGTACATCCTTTAGACGACCCTCTTCATCTAACCGATGTGCGTGATAGAAATTCTGATTATCCGCTTGCATCCGGTCAAAGTAAACCATCATTGCAGCCGCATCACCTCCTTCCATCTTCAAACGCTTTTCCTTTTCCTTGTAGACTTCATGTTCAAGATCCTTAACACTAGGAAGGTTATCCACCCCGGCCTCAGTAGCCATACACCCATGTATTTGCCTTATGGGAACCCCTTCTTCATAGTAGTTAAACAATTTCTTCCTAACATTGTTTGTGTAATAATTCTTCATTCGATATTCCTTCACTAGCTTTGCATCGGACAGTTTAGGGGTGTGGTTATGATGTTCTTTTTCAAGTTTCCTTATAACCCACAATCCATCAGAGTCAACCCCAGCATATAACATAGCACCGCATTCACATTTCTTCGAAGTCCTTTTCGCCCGCTGCATTACATCTTCTCCTATTTCCCCATTTACTGTACCACCTATGCCACAAATTTCCATGGCCTTAGCCCTCTTCTTGGCCTCCCTCCTTGCCCTCATATCGGGTGGACCCCAACACTCGCACCTCCATGTTACCCCTCTCCTCTCCTTATCCTTCTTTGAAAAGTTAGATGCAACTCTTGTAACACCAAAACCTTTTTGCTCAGCATATTCTTTGTAGTAGCATTCTACATCTTCAAAGATTTTAAAAACCATCCCAAGCTTAGGTGATTCAACATAACAGTACATGCTAACTTGGTTTGTAGATACAATGGTCTCCACAGTTTCAATTGTCTTAATTGGAGACAATGCAGCTAGTCTCTGAGCAGGGGAAGGCACAGCCACTGTCATACAGTTCAGAGAGGGGACCTGTGCAGCAGACAATATAACCTCTCCCTCTTGAAACTCATTGGAGGATTCTCCAACTATATCAACCATTTCCCCACGATCTAAATCACAGTCCATATCCATACTCCGCTGTAACAAGTCAGTCAAACAACAAGTATCACATACAGTAAACCAGTCACATACTTCACATAAGCCACACTAATTTACCATCTTTCCTAAACCAACCTACATAACTCAACAATGTAAAACAGTCAAACAACTACTTGTAATTCCAATAACTTCAACACTAGGAAACACATTAGCCAACCTAAATAACTCAACAAATGAAGCCCAATTTTTAGAATTAAGATAAGATTGTTGTTTTTAAACATTATAATCACAAAACCATAACCTGAATCACTTCACAATAATCAAACCTAACAATTACCATCCCCGCATACTGGGCAATTTCCAGCTAGCCTTTGTCAACAATTCACATATTTCGCCCAATTGAAAATTAACAAGGTTAGGGTTTACAAGCTTAAATGACATACCTGCACACATGAAGAGAACAAATAGTTGGAGTACTCCGTCCAGCACCAACTCAGCTAAGACGAATTGGGACTTCGAACATCGGATTCCCTAGCGAGGTCTCTCAATTTTGGTGGGAAATGGAGAAGCTCCAGATCGCGTTTTCGAACAATTAAACGGGAAAGATATAAATTGAGATTCGAAAATATAACACAACGGCATTCGAGAAAACGGCTATGCCTTTCCTAACGTCCCGGTTACCTGCAGTTAAGCTCCACGTAAGCAACAACTCATAAAAACATTAAAATATTGGCATATTAACTTTCCGTGTTTATATGCTTTATTAACTGGGGGAAGCTCCCTTTTTTTTAAGCTCTTCAGTCTTCACTTTTACGGTGCACCCAGGAATTTCCGACTGATGGGTCACAATCGATAATCAAGTATGTAAAAAAAAATAAAAAATTACCGAACAACCAAATAATAGTACTAAAAAATACATCCAAATATTTAAACAGTACAAAATACAACCAAATGTTCATATAATACTACAAAAGACAACTAAATAGTAATGCAAACTTATTACAATAGTTCTCGGCGAGTTTTCATGTTTTGATATCGATTCATGATATCTTCCATGCTAACATTCAAAAACAAATCATTCTCCAAATAAGTAATTAAACAATCATTCAACATTTGATCTCCCATGCTATTTCGTAGTTTGTCTTTCACTTGCTTCATGCCAGAAAATACCCTTTCCACACTTGCCGTTGCGACAGGAAGAAGCAACACCAACTTCAAAAGTAAATAGACCCTATCATGAGTTTCAGACAATCCCGTTTCAACCAATTTGATTGAAAGATCACTAAGACCCTTTAAATTCCAAAACCTTTCATCTCCTCTAACAGAACAAATGTAACTCTCAAGTGTATGACCAAAGACTATCAATTCTGAACTTGGAAATTCATTAGGATAGAATTTTGCAAGCTTAATCAATTTTTCCTTATCAAACTTAGAAAAACGATCCACAGGACTCAAACAAGACATACACACAAGTAGTTCTTTAGTTATTTCGGGAAATCGATTTTCAAGTTCTTGCAATTGAAGATCAATGACACCAAAAAAAACTTCAACTCGAAAATGATGTAGATTAGACACTTGTGGGCATTTATCTCTAAACAACCTCTTCCCGGGAACAACATATTTAGCCTCCATATCTGGAACTGCAATGTCATAGTCACCAATAAAAGAAATTACCTTTTCCATATGAGAATCCCATCCTTCATCTCTCATTTTTTGCAAATTAGTCTTGGTTACATTAACCATGGCCATTGCATTCACAATGTCTTGATCGTGCTTTTGTAAGGCCACATTCAAAGCATTTGTTATCGCAAATATACTAACCATCAAGTGTGCCACGAACACAAAATCAAAGGACATCAGAAGATTTGTAAGTGTTTGAGCTCTATTAGAATCTATTATATCAGATACTTTTGCAATATCCTCAAGAGAACCAAGGATTACAGGGAATAAATCAAGTACATTCAAGATTGTCTTGAAGTGAGATCCCCAACGAGTATCACAAGGTCTACCTAATCCACGTTCTTGATTTAAACCTGAACCCGTTTCAAGTTCACCTAGAGACAATGCATCCACCACTCTTTGAGCTTGATTTTCACGAAGAAACTCTTTCCTTTTTGGTGAACCCCCCACAAAATTCAAGAGAGGTGCAAGTACATCAACAAATAACCAAGCACAATCTGAATTCTTTTTAGCAAGTGCAACTTGAGTTAATTGAAGTTGGTGAGCAAAGCAGTGGACAAAATAAGCTTCTTTACACTCATTCTCTATAAGAGTCCTAAGGCCATTAATAGAACCTTGCATATTACTTGCCCCATCATAACCCTGACCCCGTACTTGAGAGAAAGACAAAGAATGCTCCATTAATAAGGATTCAATAGCAGTTTTGAGAGTCAAAGAAGTAGTGTTTACAACATGCACAATACCAAGTAAACGCTCACACACTTCTCCCTTTCTATTAACATATCTCAAACAAAGAGCCAATTGTTCCTTGTCAGAAACATCAGCGGACTCATCAGCAAGGATAGAAAACAAACCACCATCAATATCTTCAAGCATTGCTTTAGTGGTCTCTTTTGCACATGCATTTATGATATCTTTTTGGACTTTAGGAGAAGTAAGTTGAGAATTACTAGGAGCATTTTTGAAAACAACTTTAGAATATTCAGGATTACCTTTGGAAATAAGGGATAAAAGTGAAAGAAAGTTACCTCTTCTTAAGGAACTTTCTTTTTCATCATGACCACGGAAAGGCAACCCTTGGAGTAAAAGCCATTGGATAGATTCAATTGAAGCTTCAAGTCGCTTCCTATATGCATTTGTACTCTCAGCGAGTTGTTTTGTCAAGGCTTGTGTGATGCTTGAATTTTGTTTCTTGAACAAATCCATAGCTAAAACAGCATTATTATGTGCACTCAAGTATTTACCGACATGTTTTCTTATTAAATCCGATCGATTCCATGATTTGAAACCATCACTAACAAAAGCATCGCCTCCAAAGGCATTTTCATCCTTGAATAGATAACAAGGGAAACAATAGGCAGCATCCTTTTCCACACTATACTCAAGCCAAGTCCAAGTATCAAACCACTTAGCACAAAAGCGACGATTTTTGCCAAAAATAGAAGTTTGAGGAAATGTAGTCTTTGGGCTGACAAGGCTTTCTTTGAATGTAAATTCTTCTCACTAAATCTCTATCATCTTTATGAAATTGACTCATTTTTCTCCTCTTTCCTGGATCTTGTGGAAGATTAGCAAATTCATGTTCACTTAATCTTTCACCAAAGATTGGGGCATTAGGAGAACATTAGCCTTGTTCATTTTGAGGGGAATGTTGAGTTGAATAATGAGATGGAGATGAAAGTTGTTCACTTTCTTGAGGTGGAGTTATAGTTTGTTCATTTTTTGTTGGATGTGGAAGAGAAGTTGGAGTAGGATTCTTTTTAGCAAAGAAACTAGTAATGTTTTGCATTTCATTTGGAGTACGTTTTCTCTTCATTCTGAAATTTGAATAAATATTGAACTAAATCAAGCAATATTCCCCAGAAAAATTATTTGAATAAATATTCAACTAAATCAAGCAATTTCACATAATGACATAATCACATAAACATATTACACAAAACACAATTACACAAAACAGATTTCACATAAGTTCAAGAGACAAGTAATGCAAATTTGATCAAAAATTCACAAAAAAAAGAATCAATTGATGATTAGTTGATTACCTACCTTGCTAGGCGGAGGCGAGCAGCGGAGCAGCACTGCAGTAGGGCCACGGCCAGTCGGCCAGCACCGCAGCACGGCAGTCGGCAGCACTCAAGTCTCAGGCACTCAGCAAGACAGCAATTCAGCAGCACAACCAACTACAAATTAACAAATCAACCAAAGTTTAAACAAAAGTTTAATAAAATTAACTAATTAGACTGAATTAAATTGAAGATTAGAAATTAAAAATAAAAATTAGAAATCAACTTACTAGCGAGTAGCGATTTCGAAATGCGATTATGCGAGAAGCCACGAAGAGGACGGAGTCCACGACCACCGACCACCAGGCGAAGAGAACGGTGGCTGCCTGGGTGGGACGAAGCGAAGAGGCGAACTGAAGAATGGAGATGAGGCGAAGAGAAGAAGGCTAGGGTTTGATTGTTTGAAGAAGACAAAAACTCGGGATTTCGGGAAGCTAATGTCAGTTTTTTTTTTCTTTTTTTTTTTTCAAAAAATAACTTAAAATTTTTTTTTGGGCCTGGTGAGTCACTTGACCCACCAGTTCTAAGCCCAAGTCCACCACTGGGTGCACCTGATTCCCTTTTTCTGCTCCATTGAAGCGTACTCTGAATCCTCCATTGAAGGAAATTTTAAGCTTTCTCTCCTCCATTTAAACAGATTTTGAGGTAACATTTTCTTTATTCAATGAATTTCTTAATTTCACAATCTAGGGTTTATCGTTAATTTAATTGTCTGTATAGTTAATTTAGGTATGATCAGTGGCGGACTTGGGCTTAGAACTGGTGGGTCAAGTGACTCACCAGGCCCAAAAAAAAATTTTAAGTTATATTTTGAAAAAAAAAAAAGAAAAAAAAAACTGACATTAGCTTCCCGAAATCCTGAGTTTTTGTCTTCTTCAAACAATCAAACCCTAGCCTTCTTCTCTTCGCCTCATCTCCATTCTTCAGTTCGCCTCTTCGCTTCGTCCCAGCCAGGCAGCCACCGTTCTCTTCGCCTGGTGGTCGGTGGTCGTGGACTCCGTCCTCTTCGTGGCTTCTCGCATAATCGCATTTCGAAATCACTACTCGCTAGTAAGTTGATTTCTAATTTTTATTTTTAATTTCTAATCTTCAATTTAATTCAGTCTAATTAGTTAATTTTATTAAACTTTGGTTTAAACTTTGGTTGATTTGTTAATTTGTAGTTGGCTGTGCTGCTGAATTGATGTCTTGCTGAGTGCCTGAGACTTGAGTGCTGCCGACTGCCGTGCTGCGGTGCTGGCCGACTGGCCGTGGCCCTACTGCAGTGCTGCTCCGCCTGCTCCGCTGCTCGCCTCCGCCTAGCAAGGTAGGTAATCAACTAATCATCAATTGATTCTTTTTTTTTTTTGTGAATTTTTGATCAAATTTGCATTACTTGTCTCTTGAACTTATGTGAAATCTGTTTTGTGTAATTGTGTTTTGTGTAATATGTTTATGTGATTATGTCATTATGTGAAATTGCTTGATTTAGTTGAATATTTATTCAAATAATTTTTCTGGGGAATATTGCTTGATTTAGTTCAATATTTATTCAAATTTCAGAATGAAGAGAAAACGTACTCCAAATGAAATGCAAAACATTACTAGCTTCTTTGCTAAAAAGAATCCTACTCCAACTTCTCTTCCACATCCAACAAAAAATGAACAAACTATAACTCCACCTCAAGAAAGTGAACAACTTTCATCTCCATCTCATTATTCAACTCAAAATTCCCCTCAAAATGAACAAGGCCAATGTTCTCCTAATGCCCCAATCTTTGGTGAAAGATTAAGTGAACATGAATTTGCTAATCTTCCACAAGATCCAGGAAAGAGGAGAAAAATGAGTCAATTTCATAAAGATGATAGAGATTTAGTGAGAAGAATTTACATTCAAAGAAAGCCTTGTCAGCCCAAAGACTACATTTCCTCAAACTTCTATTTTTGGCAAAAATCGTCGCTTTTGTGCTAAGTGGTTTGATACTTGGACTTGGCTTGAGTATAGTGTGGAAAAGGATGCTGCCTATTGTTTCCCTTGTTATCTATTCAAGGATGAAAATGCCTTTGGAGGTGATGCTTTTGTTAGTGATGGTTTCAAATCATGGAATCGATCGGATTTAATAAGAAAACATGTCGGTAAATACTTGAGTGCACATAATAATGCTGTTTTAGCTATGGATTTGTTCAAGAAACAAAATTCAAGCATCACACAAGCCTTGACAAAACAACTCGCTGAGAGTACAAATGCATATAGGAAGCGACTTGAAGCTTCAATTGAATCTATCCAATGGCTTTTACTCCAAGGGTTGCCTTTCCGTGGTCATGATGAAAAAGAAAGTTCCTTAAGAAGAGGTAACTTTCTTTCACTTTTATCCCTTATTTCCAAAGGTAATACTGAATATTCTAAAGTTGTTTTCAAAAATGCTCCTAGTAATTCTCAACTTACTTCTCCTAAAGTCCAAAAAGATATCATAAATGCATGTGCAAAAGAGACCACTAAAGCAATGCTTGAAGATATTGATGGTGGTTTGTTTTCTATCCTTGCTAATGAGTCCGCTGATGTTTCTGACAAGGAACAATTGGCTCTTTGTTTGAGATATGTTAATAGAAAAGGAGAAGTGTGTGAGCGTTTACTTGGTATTGTGCATGTTGTAAACACTACTTCTTTGACTCTCAAAACTGCTATTGAATCCTTATTAATGGAGCATTCTTTGTCTTTCTCTCAAGTACGGGGTCAGGGTTATGATGGGGCAAGTAATATGCAAGGTTCTATTAATGGCCTTAGGACTCTTATAGAGAATGAGTGTAAAGAAGCTTATTTTGTCCACTGCTTTGCTCACCAACTTCAATTAACTCAAGTTGCACTTGCTAAAAAGAATTCAGATTGTGCTTGGTTATTTGTTGATGTACTTGCACCTCTCTTGAATTTTGTGGGGGGTTCACCAAAAAGGAAAGAGTTTCTTCGTGAAAATCAAGCTCAAAGAGTGGTGGATTCATTGTCTCTAGGTGAACTTGAAACGGGTTCAGGTTTAAATCAAGAACGTGGATTAGGTAGACCTTGTGATACTCGTTGGGGATCTCACTTCAAGACAATCTTGAATGTACTTGATTTATTACCTGTAATCCTTGGTTCTCTTGAGGATATTGCAAAAGTATCTGATACAATAGATTCTAATAGAGCTCAAACACTTACAAATCTTCTGATGTCCTTTGATTTTGTGTTCCTGGCACACTTGATGGTTAGTATATTTGCGATAACAAATGCTTTGAATGTGGCCTTACAAAAGCACGATCAAGACATTGTGAATGCAATGGCCATGGTTAATGTAACCAAGACTAATTTGCAAAAAATGAGATATGAAGGATGGGATTCTCATATGGAAAAGGTAATTTCTTTTATTGGTGACTATGACATTGCAGTTCCAGATATGGAGGCTAAATATGTTGTTCCCGGGAAGAGGTTGTTTAGAGGTAAATGCCCACAAGTGTTTAATCTACATCATTTTCGAGTTGAAGTTTTTTTTTGGTGTCATTGATCTTCAATTGCAAGAACTTGAAAATCGATTTCCCGAAATAACTAAAGAACTACTTGTGTGTATGTCTTGTTTGAGTCCTGTGGATCGTTTTTCTAAGTTTGATAAGGAAAAATTGATTAAGCTTGCAAAATTCTATCCTAATGAATTTCCAAGTTCAGAATTGATAGTCTTTGGTCATACACTTGAGAGTTACATTTGTTCTGTTAGAGGAGATGAAAGGTTTTGGAATTTAAAGGGTCTTAGTGATCTTTCAATCAAATTGGTTGAAACGGGATTGTCTGAAACTCATGATAGGGTCTATTTACTTTTGAAGTTGGTGTTGCTTCTTCCTGTCGCAACGGCAAGTGTGGAAAGGGTATTTTCTGGCATGAAGCAAGTGAAAGACAAACTACGAAATAGCATGGGAGATCAAATGTTGAATGATTGTTTAATTACTTATTTGGAGAATGATTTGTTTTTGAATGTTAACATGAAAGATATCATGAATCGATATCAAAACATGAAAACTCGTCGAGAACTATTGTAATAAGTTTGCGTTACTATTTAGTTGTCTTTTGTAGTATTATATGAACATTTGGTTGTATTTTGTACTGTTTAAATATTTGGATGTATTTTTTAGTACTATTATTTGGTTGTTCGGTAATTTTTTTTTTTTTTGCCATACTTGATTATCGATTGTGACCCATCAGTCGGAAATTCCTGGGTCCGCCACTGTTTATACCCACTTTAACTCGTACGTAATAATTACTAATTAACCCCTTTGAATTTTAGTTAACATTCATCAATTGTAATGAGTGGGTATAAAGTAACGACTAAAGTACCCCATTTCATAGCTCCATATTAATTAACCCCTTTGAATTATAGTTAACATTTTTGTTTTAAATGGTAAAAGCTAAAAAGTTCAGTTTAACTAAAAAGTCGATCAAGGACAACAAAAAGTAAATATGTATTTATCCCATGTTGTGTTTGAACGAATTTGATATCACAATTCACATTTATAATCTGCTTGTAATTAATTTTAAATAGATTTCACCAAATTGGAATTCGTTTCTTGGACTAGACAAAACAATCAAATTTTTTTTTTTTTTTTTTTACAACAACTTAATTTACATTATATAAATAAAATAAAATAAAAAAAATGAGCTTGTAAAGAGTAACATCAAATAAAATGTGTACGAAGTATATTAAGTGTTTGTCACATTTTGTTAATTATTAATATCTAACTTTATTTACTTTGTTCTTTGGCACCCCCTCTCCTCAAGCATCGCTTCTACGGCCAATCGATTCCGCTAGGTACCATAGAAGCAGCGATGGCAGATCATCAGGTTAGGAAATTCCTAACCACAGACCAGGCATTACAAGATTGTGCAGACATAATTCAGAGTTTGAAGACCAGTTACTCTGCACATCGGTCGCCAGTGATAGTTGCAGGTTTCGGCTATGGTGGAAGTACGTAATAACCTAATCCATATTTTATACTCCGTAATTCATTAACTTTTATAGAAAATATTATGTACTGGCAGTGTAGATGCATTACCTTGAATAAATATATGGGATCACAATATTATTGCCAATATAATTCTTCAACGTAAAACCTTAAATTATTTCAACATTTAAGAAAATGAGATATAGGACTAAACAAATTGGCTCACCTATATGTATTTTCAAAAGCTCGCATCATCTTCTAGTAGAATTGTATTATAAATAAATCACTTAAAGGGAAATACGCGTTTCTATGATCAACATAAGGATATATAGATGCAACCAGAAGTATATCAAACATCCAATCAAAAAATTTGGAACGAATTTTGTAGTTTTGTAATTGACCTGTCCCAACTTTTACAAAATTATTACCTAAATTAGTGAATTATGACGTCCCTTCTATTATTGTTGCACCTTTAATTTGATTATGTCTTTATACATGCAATGGAGTGTTCATTATTGTTAAAATCAAACATAATCAATTTTATCAACAACGAACGTACTCAGCTCTTTAGAATTTAATATTTTAAGCCATATGCCCTATAATTTTGTTTACTAAAGTACTTAACTTGTGTTTTTTTTTTTTTTTTTTTTTTGAATTAGCCTTGGCTACCTGGTTTCGTTTGAAATAC